AAAAAAAAAAAAAAAAAGAAGTTTCGCAAATAAAACAATAAAATAATAGCTTTTTTTTAACGTAAAGATAATTTAAATGACAAGTTAGCCAGCTGTTATCATAATCAAAAATAATTTCACGAAAATTTTGTTCTCGTTCAGTTAAAGGGCTGAAATTAAATATACATATTTTTTTTTTTTCGTTATCCAGTTGCATAACCCCAATTATATACGATTTTTATTTGAAAAGATATATTTTAATTGATAGTCTTGTCATCCCGTGCCCATGGGCGCCCGCAGAAAACTTTCTAGGGGGGGGGGGCAAAAAAATCGATTAACTTTCCAGGGGGGGGGGCAAAAAATTTTTATTAATGTTTTAATATAGTTTTAATTTACTGTAGCGTATTTGTATGGTGAACGAACGGACAGAACATGAGCTTAGTTACTTTCTCTTTATTTTCTCTTTACTTCAATAAATTTTGTGTCTATTTTTGTCTAAAAAATTTTTATCCAATCAATCCAGGGGGGGGGGGGCAATTGCCCCACCTTGCCACTACCTGCGGGCGCCCATGCCCGTGCCCCTTGCCCCCCTTGCCCCCACCCTGTCATAAAACACAAGACCCCTGAGATGGGATCATTTATCCGGATCAGTAGACGCAATATTCTTTTATACAGAACGCCGCAAGCCACTGGGTATACCATTGTCCTGAATTGCGACCACACCATTCAAATATTTACAATCATGCCAAAGTTAGAAGTTATTACATCTATTTTTAGATACGGCTATCCTTGTCATATGGGCCATACATGAATTATGAATGTATCACCCTACCCATAAATGGAAACCTAAACCAGTTAGGGCGCTAATTTCCGACTACCGCCACTAACCAGTCCAGCTTCCATTAAACTCTGATATCTATTTTGAGAACGTCGCCAGACCTACTTGTTGGGGGGGGGGGGGAGATCTAATTATAGCCTCTTTCTAATCTCTGTGGCCAGCTGACTCCTCGTGTCCTCACACGCAGCAGGGTCAACACAGGTCACGTGACGAGGTATAAATTAGTTACTGGTAAAAATGACGTCACGGACAACATCCACTACTTCCTAGATCAAATAATTGTAGGTACTGACCGAGGATGTAGTGGTTTAATTTAAACAGCGGGGTATGAACGATTGCGCTCACTAGGAGGGTGCGCGTGCTGTTCATAACATCTTCATGTGTGGGTTGGGGGGGGGGGGGAGTAGCATCAAGAGGAAAGGTGGCACATTTGATAGAGTTCCCTCGAGTCGGTTTTCATAACGTTTAACAGCAAATCTAAGTGAAATTAAAGAGCAGGCTGATAAATTGTAGGTACTGACCGAGGATGTAGTGGTTTAATTTAAACAGCGGGGTATGAACGATTGCGCTCACTAGGAGGGTGCGCGTGCTGTTCATAACATCTTCATGTGTGGGTTGGGGGGGGGGGTGAGTAGCATCAAGAGGAAAGGTGGCACATTTGATAGAGTTCCCTCGAGTCGGTTTTCATAACGTTTCACAGCAAATCTAAGTGAAATTAAAGAGCAGGCTGATAACTGAGAAGAGTGCCTCCAGAAATCACCAGAACAGGATGTCAACAGAGCAGGATGTCACCAGAGCAGGATGTCACAAGAGCAGTACATCACCAGAGCACGATGTCAATAGAGAAGGATGTCAATAGAGCAGGATGTCACAAGAACAGGATGTTACCAGAGCAGGATGTCACCAAAGCAGGATGTCAATAGAGAAGGATGTCACCAGAGCAGGATGTCACCAGAGCAGGATGTCACCAGAGCAGGATGTCACCAGAGCAAGATGTCACAAGAACAGTACGTCACCAGAGCAGGATGTCACCAGAGCAGGATGTCAATAGACAAGGATGTCACCAGAGCAGGATGTCACCAGAGCAGTATGTCACCAGAGCAGAATGTCACCAGAGCAGGATGTCACCAGAGCAAGACGTCACAAGAGCAGTACGTCACCAGAGCAGGATGTCACCAGAGCAGGATGTCACCAGAGCAGGATGTCACAAGATAAGGACACTACCAGGGCAGGCAGAATCGGAGTAGGTTTATGGGGAAGTCTGGAGGGGTGAAATCAGAACAGGTTACTACCAGGGCATGCAGAATTGGAGAACGTCCATGGGGAAGTCTTGAGGGGGTGGTGACACCAGACCTTGACACGCCTCATGGTCTGATTCTTTTTTTTCCCACTTCCACTTACCAAAACAAGATACAACTTCGTTGTTGGTGTTTTTGTTCCCTTACGAAAAGAAAAAAAAAATGGACTATAAATATGGCGTTACCAAAAATATTTTTACCGGACGTTTTCTAACAGTTTTGCGACGCGTGACTTTGATAAGATCACCAGCTGCGTCCAGAATCGCTTGACATTCTCCTTGAATCGTGAGTCCTTAACGGGGGCCATCGAGTGGCCCCCAACAACATTTGCGATGGCAAGGAGTCTGTGATATTTAAGGGACCCAAATTTGCGATGAGGATTTCTAAAAAAAAAATTGTATTATCAACTTTAAATACAATAGGGAGGGGGGCACACAATAGAAACATGGTAGGGGGGGCCT